CTGTCTAAATTCTTTCATTTCCATCATTTTGTATTCCATGCTTGTATATTGCCAATTGTTTTTGATATCCCTCGTTTTTCGTGTATAAGCTTGATCAACTTATGCGTGGAAAATGTGGGGGTGTTACAATCCTGCTCTTCTAGATTCCCATTACCCCTGTTTGGATTCGAGAGGTCTTGGCATGGCAAACCCTGTTGAACCGGTGGAACAAGGTGTTGCAGGAGTGCTGCATTTTGTTGGATCAACTGGTCTATACCCTGATTCAGAGTTTGGACCTGCAGTTCCAACACTGCAAATCGTGTCTGGTCATTTGGGACGTCTAGATTTTCACCCGACTCTTCCCTTTGACCAGATCCCTGCGACGGTGTTCCTTCGGTAACCATACCGGACCGCAAACGTCTATACCCAACGAGTAATAAATCGATTCAATGGAATTGCTGTTCCCACAGACGGCGCCAACTGTTGAGGTTGAATTTCGCCACGGTCTAGTACGACACCGTTTCCTGCAAAATAAGGATGGCAAAGTCAAACACCGGTGTGGTGCCGGCCGTTGACCCTCCGACGATCAAGTTAGCAAGGATTCTCGATAGAGAATTTTAATCGTAATTTGCTTAGTAGGAGTTTTTTTTGTGTGTACCTTATCCCCGAGTCGTCTTTGTCTTTATAGTCACTTCCCTTCTTCTTGATAAGGGAGTTTCATCATCCTTAGCCCATGGAGCCTACCTCGTGGAAATCCTATCCTTGATAAGATTTGAACTTATCCTATGACAAATCCTATCCTAGATACGATTTGTCATCATTCTTATCTAATAGAATGGTTATCCTTAATAACGAGATATTATCGTCTGAGAGTTGGAGAAATCTGGTGGCAGGTCAATATTTAATTCCCTTTTTTGTTAAGTCAAGATAGGCTAGGGTTATTTTTCCCTATCAATCTGCATCTTTCTTTTTCCTTAGCCGCCAATCATTCCAAACTTAATATTCCTTATCAGGACCTCTACCACTTTACTTCATATTGGATTTTGATTTCAATTTGGTCTTAGCAATGATTGATTCATTTTCTTAAAACAGATATGTTAAAATATGTTAAAACATTATATTTGTTCGGCCTTATAATTTTTCTCTCTTTCAAATAGCTTAAATTGAGTAGGAGATTTTGTTCAAATTTTGAGTTTTTTTGGCTTTCAAAAAGAGGGACAATGGTTTCTTTCAAAAACAGTTGAGGTAGATTTAAAAAAGGGAGAAATAGAAATGGTTAGTTCAATTTTTTTAAGGATAGTTTTCTATCTTAAGAAAATGAAAAATAACAGAAAATGTAGGAGATACAATTTTCCATAAGTTAATTAAAAATAACATTCAAAGTTGAGTAAGGAAAAAAAATAGATCTGTTGAGTTTAACTATAAAAAAGAGGTATAACCCATGTTTTGTATTTTTTAAGTTTAAAAGGGGTGTCAAACTCTTATTAAGATAAGTTAGTGTGCAAGATACAATCTGTCTTAATGGAGCATGACTGAAACATTGTCCCTATGGTTATGTCAATATAACATCTCACATAAAATTGTTGTTTACAATTTTATGAACTATAAATCTGGCCGGGCTTGATACCTATTTGGACTTACTGGGTTCTTGGGCCTTTCTGCTTAAATCAATTTAACTTGCTTGAAGAGGAGTTAAGTTTTGGTTTGGGTCCTGAGCCTTGTAGCCCAAACTGATGACAGATTAACTCTATCATAACCCGATAATTTTTGCATTTGTGTCACCATGCTTTGGTTTGTTTCTGCACTCTCTTTTTAATACAAAGTACTTATTTTTCATTGTTTTTTAAGAACAAAACTGAAATATTATTTAATTTTCAATTGGATAGCATTAGATTTTAGTTTAAGAATAAAACTGCAAATGCAATTTGATAAATGAAATACTAGTAATTATTATTTTTCACCACTCAATACAGAATTCACCATCTCTGGTGGATACTAAATCAGCAAAGCAATAAGGAAAGCATAGGTTGTGTGAGTCATTTTTTCCTTTCTTGGAGGGCATTGTCAACAACCATTTAAAGAGACTTGTCGTGTTATTGTTGCTTTTTGTTACCTTGACGGCTTCTCATGTTCAATTGTGCAAATTTATTTTTGGAGTGTGCGTGAATGACGGAGCTGGCGAAAATTATTGCCTTCTCATTTTTATTTAATTTCGACAAATGATAACCGACTACTTGCTAAAATGAAATTAACAGAATTTTTTTTTACCAAAATAAAAAGGAGTTAGCCCCTCAGCCAAACAGCATTTCTCGAAATTACTTAAAACACCCCCATAGTCTACTATGTGAAAAATTAATTCTCTAGCGTGACCCAAGTGAATTTGAATTCTCGTTATGAGGTGAGAATATTTAATAGTAAATTTTTTTTTTTTATCATGATAAACTAATAGAAATACATTTTTTTTTATGGTAATAAATTAAGGAAAAGAGAGATTTAAATACGGGCACATCCACTCAGAAAGTTTAACTGTCTACTAATTTGGTCACTGAATAATACCCAAAGTCTTTAACATCAAGCATGCAAAAGTCTAGCACATTAATAAGATTATTGTGTTTAGTAAATAATTAAGTACAATAATGATACATCATGCGGTGAGGTTCACTTCTCCAGAATTCATTAAATTGTAATATAAAATTACTTTGAGTGTATATATTTTTTTAAAAAAGAAAAACAAAGAAATACATTCACTTTAAAACTAAAAAAATACTAGTATTAGATAGGAAAAATTACATATAAATGGAGTCAAAGTTTCATATTTACTTAGAGACTGAGTCAAAGTTCCATATTTCTCTAAAATGGATTGCTGAGGTGGCACATGGTTTTTTACTGTTTAAAAAATTGTGGTGCCTAAAATGTCCTTCCCTAATAAAAAAGTAGTACCTTCAGTTCAAAAAAGTAGTACCTTCAGTTCAAAAAAGTAGTACCTTTCGGAGAAAAAGTAGTACCTTCGCCAGTGTTTAAAAAACATGGTACCTGGATGCCAAAAAGTAGTACCTTCAGTTCAAAAAATTAGTACCTTCGAAGAAAAAGTAGTACCTTCGCGGAAGGGTATTTTAGGCATCACAATTTCTAAACAGTAAAAAACTATGTGCCACCTCAGCAATCCATTTTAAAGAAATATGGAATTTTGACTCAGCCTCTAAATAAATATGGAACTTTAACTCCATCTATATGTAATTTTTCCTATTAGATAATAGTCCATTTTATCTTTAAAAAATACCATTACATTAGGGTCGATTTTGCCTTGAATTGACAAGTTGAAAAAGTAAAGAGAAACAAGCCTCTTTTTCTTTCTTTTTTTGTTTTTTTGACCTAGCGAAACAAGGCTAAATGCTCGTGAATCATGACAAATGAATTTTTATTTTCTTCAATCACATCAGATGGAGATAGGAACCCATGTAGGCACGTGATGTTGCAAGTGCCATAGTTTTCACTCTGAAAGGGGGACAAATAAAAATAAAAATAAAAATCTGACGGTGATGTCGACATATTAATTAATAATATCACGGTACTCTTAGTCAAACATTCATACATTCCTTCCAATAAATAATTGCCACGTGTCTATGCCGGCTATTGTTATCTGGATCAACCCTCTTTGACCAGGTCAAAAATTATAAATCCTATATTTTGTTTTTCAGGTAAATAAAACTTTTTCCTTCTTATTCATCGATTGGACGCTAAAAACGTGCCTTTTTTAGAGTTGGATTCCACCTTTGTGTCCACTAGTGTCTAGTCTTTAATCAACATTTTGATTCTAGATTTGAATCTTAATATATAATATAAAGGTCAAAATAATAATATTTATTTTTCACATTAAAAATCTTAAAATATTTAATTACAAATATGACACATAAAAAATCCACCATTTAATAATTTCTCACAATTTAGATATGTAAGGCTTCACAACTCAATTTTTTAGAAAAATTACCAAAGAATTTGCACATAAAATAAAAAAATATGTTATAATTACTCTTTTATTTTTAGAATAGTGATAGCAATACTGAATATTTGTAGGTTACGTTTGATGTGCAGGAATAAAATGAAATGCCACTTGGAATGGAATGAGTATTACTAGTGTGACACGGTGAATCGTTATGGAATGGAATGATTATTACCATTCTAGTGTTTGGTGACTATCATTAAATCTAGAATGAAATAATTTTTCTCAAAAATACCATTTTCATTACTTTTTAATAAAATCAAACTATTTAATATTCTATCAGTACATTTTTATTCAAAAATGGATTGAATACTTAAGCTTGTTGAATACTTAACCTAAGAAGCTGATGTAAAGACTAATATATATATATATATATATATTTAATGATACATCATTCTCAATAATATATATATGGTTGAAGGGTCCTGTAATTTTTTTTGTCAGCTTTAGATATATTCAGAAGAGAGGGAAGGTGAAAGACCTTTACCACGTCTAATAAAGAAGCTCCAGAAACTTGAAAAATGGAATGTGAAATATTTTTGGTCTATGTAAAATATTTTTGCCTTATTAGAATGTGACGAAAGGCTTATTGGAAATATTATAAAAATATTTAATCTTTCTATGAAATGAAATGGAATGGATTTTCATTCCATTGGAATGATCATTCCATTTCATTCCTGCGCATCAAATAAATGAATGGTTAGAATGGGCATTTCATGTCATTCTTACACACCAAACATAACTTATTTATATCAAATATAATTAAGTAGAAGATTTTATTTTTTTATTTATTACATAATTCATCAATTAAAAAAAGTAGGTTTAGAATGCAGAAATCAATTTCCTTTATTTTATGAGAAATTTAATTAACCGACGAGTCATTAAGAATCTAAGATGGTAAGACGTGTTACTGGTTGGTCAACGAAAATAAATTAGGAAACATAATATCCAAAGTTACAATCATTGCTTTATACGTATGGTCTCTCTTATCCCCTTTTCCGTTCCATGTAGAGAGTCCTTTTCTCTCTAGAAGCCCCACACACAATACAGAGTCAGAAACTAGATAAGTATACTAGAGAGAGTACACACACACACGCACAGAACGGAGAGAGATATATTATATTTGTACATCTTTCATGGCTGCCGCAGCAGAGTCGACATCATCAGACTCTTCATCAAATCTAAGAATTATAGTCCAAGCAAATCCTTCAGAGTCACAACTATCTGACTTGGGTATCAAGTCTTGGCCCAAGTAAGTCTCTTCCTCCATCTCTCTCTATCTGGTTTTCCTCTGGTTTTATATATATATATATATATATATATATGATCGAGGTTGTGTTTTGTTGAAGATGGGGTTGCTCTCCGGGAAAGTATCAACTAAAATTTGATGCGGAAGAGACATGTTACTTGGTGAAAGGAAAGGTGAAAGTGTATCCAAAAGGGTCAACGGAGTTGGTTGAGTTCGGAGCCGGCGATCTAGTCATAATTCCAAAGGGACTCAGTTGCACTTGGGACGTATCTGTTGCAGTTGACAAATACTACAAGTTTGACTCATCCTAGATTTCAGATCACACTCTCAATCTCTTGCTGCTTTTTAAACTCACCATGTAGTGTGTTCTTCAATCTTGGTAAATTCTTACTAGTTTTTTTCTTGTGTTTTTTTTTTTGGGGAGTTAAATATGCAAGGTAGTGATATATTTAGTCAAAAGGAGAGCAATTGGTCAAAGTATGTACTATTCAACTAACCTCATTTATGAGTTTTATTGTAACCATTTAAAGTTCCTTTGACTGGTCAACATACATGTATTTATCACCGTTGGGTTTGTCGATACATAGATGTTCCATGTGCTAAAATATAGAATAGATCTTTTAAATTAAAATTTTATGTGTTGTAAGAGATTTCTAACGAACTTGAATCTGGTTTGAATACTGTTTATTTTATATTTTTTTAAATATAGAACAGATTTGTTAGAATACTGCGGCACCATTGCAGAAATGTGGATTGTGTTATTGGGACTCACATGCTAAAAAGACAATAATGCCCCTTGCCAAGGTTATCATTAAAGATGCATTTGGGGGAGTGAATAAAGTTTGTCTGTCTTTTGCCGTATTAAGAGGGGTGCTAATCACAAACTTTGTAAACACGGTTCCATCTCAATTTAAAATTTTATTTTTGTAATTAATTATTGTTTTTATGCTAATTTTCTTTTGGGTCTCTCATTATATATAATTACTATACTACTCTCCTAACTAATAAATAAGTGAAAAAAAGTACTATAATCTGATCCTATTTCTAAAATTATCCGATTTTTTCAGATCCCTATTATTTGTTTTCAAGTATTCGGTTATTTTTTAAATAAAAAAATAAAAATCACATGAAAAAAAAGTATGATCTGAAAAAAAATTATAGTACATTTTTCTTTTTATTTTATGATATATATATATATATATATATATTTAATCTGAAAAATCAGAGCAATATTTTGAATACATTTGAAAAAATTCAGATTTGAACATTAAGATATGAACTTTTGTATAAAGAAAATTTTAGTGTTGGAACTTCAAACATTTATATATGGAATTAATAAATAAAATTTAAAAGTGAGATGAAATACTTTTTTCTTTTTATTTATGATAATTTTTTTTTAAAATTTTTTTAATCGGAAAAATCAGAGCAATACTTTGTATTAAGAAAATTTTAGTGTTGGAACTTCAAACATTTAGATATGGAATTTGGTAAAAAATAAAATTTTAAAGTGAGATGGAATGTAGAGGAAGTTTCTTAGTTATGAGGCTAATATAGTAATTATATATAACGAGAGACCCAAAAGAAAGTTAAGAGAAAAATAGTAATTAATTATTAAGAAATAAAATACACGCGTCTAACTGTGATCAGCACCCCTCTTTCTTGAATATCACTCTTTTGATGAAACGACATCCTTTGTTGTCCGCTTTGAAATATAGAACATCTATTTGGTTAAAACAACCTTCAAAAGCACTACAAACAATTTCGAAACATATAAAGGGTCTTTAATCAAATTGCATACATATATTTTTTTTTAGTTTGGTTTTCAAGAAAAAATTGAACAAATTGTTTGTTCAAAGAAAAAGTTTAAGACGAGTTAGTAAGCTTCAAACCACTTTTTGCTTCGAGAGGTTTTTGAAGTTCTTGATGTCCAAAATGTTCATGAACTACAAGTATAGGACTGTTGTACTCTACTTTGTATTGGAAATGGGCATTTTCATTCATGGAAGGCCTATTTTTGTCTATGAGGTATGCCCTCTGTGCTCAGACACTTTATTCTTTTCCTCTTAATGCTACAACTCACCAATTATGAAAAAATATATATATATTTTGAAACTAAAAAAGAAAAGAAATAGCACTAATTCCAACAAAACAAACCACAACCTTTATCCAAACAAGTATTGTCTTTACAATCGATAGGAACTATTTAAATTTGCCAAAGTAGGGACATTTTGTATTGGCAGCTTTCCGAGAGGAAAAAACTAAAATCTTTTACTTCAAACATCAAATAAACAGCCAAATTAACTCTATACAAATACTCATTATGCAGATCACCTATAAATTAAAACAAATCGTGACAACAAAAGAGGCTATATATTGCAGCTGATTGTGGGCAAGCAGCTCATGTTTTAGAATTACAACACGGTGTGCCCCAAACGCTGAGCTATTTCTCTGGTAATATACAATGTTGTTTTGGTTGCTTCAATCGTGAGATGATTGATTAACAACAGAAAAGGAGAGAACCAAAAAAGAAGATTCAAGCTTGCCTTGAGATAGTTCCGGACCATCATATTGTACATGTTGACACCCACCCACACACACACACATCAGAAGTACAAGGGAAAAGGGAATAAAAGATCCCCAGTTCCCACGAGCCAGATCATCTCCAAAACAAGTACGCCATCAGTTCCTGAAGAAGCAACATTAAGTATTATTCAGAAGAGCAACAAATTGTGGAGCCATAACAAACCCCATAGATTAGACCCCAACTATAAATACTGGAAGAGTTCAAGGCGAGACATCTCAGTTATTTCAGAAAAAAGCATATCAAATTTCTGAAAAGAGTCGCTCCAACCATTTTATTAAGCAACATTTAAAATGGGTCGGCTGGCAAAGCCATTACTGGGTTGATTTAGGGATCTAAAAGGATAATTTAGGGATTTTAAGATGTAGTTTTATGAAGGGGTTGTGAGAAGACAAAGCCTTGTGGATATGGTAGTAAAATCATATAAAGAACTCTACCAAAATGTAGAGAAATCGAATTTATATTTTCTACTTTTGTGGTACATAAAGCCTTCAATGTGAAGAAGGTTTGATGCTGGGCAGAGAAATTTTTACATGGTCCGGGACCATGTAATAATTTCTCTGCTGTGTCACAACTCACTTTAGCAGTCAAAAAGCTGGCATTCCACATAGCAGGAATTACATAGAACCAATATAAGAGAATAAAGGAAACATTTCCTCACCCTTTGATTGATAGAATATGCCACTCCTCCCCCTTCAAAGTGCACGCAGTCTTTCCAAGTTTTCCCCCAAGAAGAAAGCTCTAGCCTGGGGAAGAGCACATAACAAAGTTTGACATAGCCAACATCAGAACTGACCATGGGTTGCACTAAAAACATCTCAAATAGCATCCAGATCGTCCAAATCAGGTCAGAAAATGCAAAGAGATATTCAACCCCGCTTACAATGAGGTGAGCCACTAGCCCGTCAAAATTCTAAGAATATTCTAGACAACAGTAAAAATAATATATAAAATAATAAACAATACTAAAGATAGGTAAAACACGATAAATTAGTATTTACGAACAAATTTAAATAAATTAACAAATGGATAAATAAACATTTCAAAAGTTGAACTAAAATTGGTGCATTAAGAGGCTCAATTGGACCAATCCATTTACAAGTTGAGTTCTGGTTAGTGAATTAACAATCAAGTTCAAAAAATCTAGTGGAAACAGAAATAAAATTCCCTAGCCCAGTTGTAGCGGGCCGGGTGCTTCGCGATCCGACCCAAAAGCTTAAGCTATTAGGTGGTGCTAACACCCAACCCATATATACCCAATCACTTCCCCATCCAGATCCGATGTGGGACATGACTCCCCTTGTAACACCAGGCCACATGCTTCAAGTTTAAATAAATAAATAAATCATTGTCGTAATCGCCTTTTCCACTTGTAGGTATGAGTTGGAAGCGCCTACTTCCAAGATTCAAACTTGCATGAAGATTATTATGACAGTTTAGCACTACAAGAGCATTTGGTAAATTTAAACCAATGAAATAATAGAAATTATAACAACAATTTAACCACCACAAACAAGATCTGAGACAATCCAGTCTAAGTCACCATTTGGGATTCAACTTCCCAGATTTTAAGAGACCTTTTCAAACATATCTCAAGAGATGGAAAAAATTAGCCAAGTCAACACCTTATTAAAATCCCCAATTATTCATCTTCTCCACTAAAAAATAACATACTTGGATAAGCACTCTCATTCCATGGCTCTTGGAAGGTTAGTGATCATGAAGGGAAGATCACTTTTTGGTCAAGTGGCTGGAGAAGAATAAACACTGCTTAGGTTTAACTAGAATTGGAGGTTAGGAGACTGATAAAATACATAAATAAATAAATAAATTGGAGGTTGGGAGGCTAAATTCATAAAATGTATAGTCAATAACAGGTTGCTAATTTTCTTGCTTATTATACATGTACATACTTGTACATATTTCGTGTTAGCTGCACCATAATATGATAAAAGGGCATCCCAAAACTTCATTGGTAATCTACAGTTCACCAAATCCTTAGATGGTCATGCAAGTTTACTTATTGCAAAGCCATTGGATAGCAGAAAAATATACATACAGAAAAATTATTCCATCCTAATCTACTCATCCTTAACTTGAACTTCGGCAACTGTCGATAGGGAATATAGAAAATGAGAGCGCATACCAGTCAAGTTGAGCTGCACACCTCATATGTGAACTACGATGACCACTGCCTAGCATTCCAAAGCATATGTCTGGACCTGCAACAAATGAGAAGATATACAACTAATCACATTCCAATTCTGAATTCAATCAACATTTGTCCATGAATAAACATGAAAAAGAATCCACAAGAGAAAAAATGAAAGAGGCAAAATTAGACACAACAAAAGGGAAGTATTGGCTTTGCTACAATAATACTTTCATATAAAATCTATATTTAATATATTTTAAGCATTTAATAAGAGATTCGGTACTAAACTGTCTTCATCTAAATGAAAGGGCCTTCTTCACCCACCAAATCAAGTTTCACAATTATCATCATACAATGTTTGACTTATAAAGTTCCCAAATTGTGAGGACCTTGGAGGCTGGAGCTACAAAATATTTACATCTGCCGAGTAAAGAAAAAAACTACAATGTATTATTTGTTTTCCTTGAACACCAACAAAGTTTGTGTAATTTGATTTACTTAAAACATCCCTAATACTAGGGGTGGGACTTGGGCGGGTTGGGCGGGCCAAGGGATTAGCCCACGCCAAACCCAAGTCCCGAGAAATTGTATCTCGACCCACGCCATTCCGCAGGGGTTTCACAGATTTCTTGGGTCGTCCCAAATTTTAATAACCATAAATAACTAAATTTGTAAGAAATAAAACCTCAAATAAAATAAAACCTCTCATATCATGTGAAAAAAACAACCAAATTATGTGTAATTTGATGTGATAGCAATAATTTCTAATTTCAAATAAAAGATATATCAGTCATTCCAAATTTCAAGACAGATAACATGGTCCAAAAAGTTTCCATAATAAAAACTTGGAAAGAACTCAATAATAGTTGATATTTTTTAATATTTTGTTTCCTTAACAAAAATTCAATTATTATATGTTTTTGTTTTATAAAAATAAAGGTGTCAAAGTAACAAAGTTAGGTGAATACCATGGATCCATAACTGATGATACTACAAATAATCTAAATTTAACTTTACTTTACTTATAGTCTTGTATATAGTGACATAAACTAGACATAAAATAAAACCTCTCATATCATGTGAAAAAAATAACCAAATTATGTGTAATTTGATGTGATAGCAATAGTTTATAATTTCTAATAAAAGATATATCAATCATTCCTAATTTCAAGACAGATAACACGGTCCAAAAAGTTCCCATAATAAAAACTCAATAATAGTTGATATTTTTTAATATTTTGTTTCCTCAACTAAAATTCAATTATTATATGTTTTTATTTTATAAAAATTAAGGTGTCAAAGTAACAAAGTTAGGTGAATACCATGGATCCATAATTGATGATACTACAAATAATCTAAATTTAACTTTATTTTACTTATAGTCTTGTATAAAAGTTATAAACTATTTTTGGGTTATTTGGGTTCTTCGGGTTCCTTGGGTTACTAAAATCTTGGCCCAAATCCCGCCCAAAATAAATTCGGGCTCCAAATTTTAAACCCAATCCCATCCTATGGTCTCAATGACCTTAGCCCATTCCCATATAACTATCATGCGGGAATCGAGTTGCTCGGGTAAGGCCCACCCAAGTTCCACCTCCCACCCCTACATACGGGTGTCATGGTGAACAAACGGAAAGCGGGTCCGGTCTGTACCAACCAAGAAGATTGATTGAAAAAGGGAGAGTGTGATACATCAATCGGTGTAAACTACATTACGTTCATGCCATTCGTCTCATAGCAGCCTCCAGGGACACACCACAATCCAAAGAAACCAATCAAACAATTTAAGATGGCTATATAACCCACACACCACTTGTAACCTTGTAGGCAAGCTCAAACATAAACCAATAAAATTCAAAGTAATAAACAAAGATGAGTAGAACAGATCAAAATGCTTTAAACTAGCAAAATCATGTTTTTAGCATATTTGGAAGGAAACCAATACTTCTAAACAATTTCTAACCACAAACTTCTGGATAGGGTTGAGCAAATAATCCGTCAATCCGGTCCGAACCAATCCGATCCGTGTGGTTCGGTTCGGTTTTCGGATCTTATGGTTCGATGATGGTTTAGAAAAATAGCAATCTGCTATTCGCGGTTTGGTTAACAGATTGGGCCCTGAAAAAACCGATCCGATCCGTTAACCGAACTGATCCGATCCATTACCTTAATTATATATTAATATTATATACATATATATATAACTATATATATACTTATTGTATTTCTTTTTTTTTTTATTCATTATTTAAGGCTTTAAGTTAACCCTAGGGTATCAAAGTCATTAGTCATTACGGGTTTTTAATTACTAATTTGATATTTTAATGGGCCATAAAGTGTAATCAAATTGGGCTGTTTGAAAAGCCCAAATCCACGGAAACCGAACCGATCCGATCCGATCCAATATTTCATGGATCGGTTTGGTTCGGATTGAATGTCCCCACGGATCGGTTCGGTTTCAAATTTCACCAATCCGTGGGGACTAGATTGGATTAAACTTTACCCCAAACCGAACAGATCAGATCCGTGATCAACCCTACTTCTAGATACAAAATGCAATAAAAGGTAAAGTTCTCAGTAATTAGTACAGTGTCTTAAATACAATATCGGTTTATGACATTTTGACGCAAAAACAGAACTGAACATCAAAAAACATATAGAAGTATCAACCGTGGCCTGGAATAATGTTCTACCTCAACCATATTTTCCTTTGGAAAAAAATTTGGTGCAGTAGAATTCACACCATGAGCACCGTCATACTGCAGTACCCGAAGCTTACCCTCCTGCATTTAATATCATTCAGAATCTTGAAAATCCAGAAACATGGTGTAGAATTATATAAAATTTTCTGAATTCTCAAACGCACACCTTGGTTCCATAGACAAGACCTCCTCCGGCTAAGGGATGGAAGCAAGCTACATTAACCTCATCTTCTACACTGGGAAGCACACTCACAAGTTCCATATCTGAAACTCGGTATACCTGAACCCAAAAGTTTAAAAATGTTAAATCTAAACAAAGATCAACAAAACACTGGAGATACAATGCTATTGTAGATTCTTAATTCCACATATGATATGATAAACAGCAGTTTGCATAAAGCTTTAGAAATCTTCTAATCATATACCAAGTTGGACAAGACAACCAATAACACAAACCTCTAAAACCAGGACACTATCAGTCAAGTAGTCATAGTGCATAAGATATTAGCAAATGTGTCTATCCTGTAACACGAGACCCACAGCAAGTCATATGCTAAGTTTATGTATAACCAATTTTGATACCTCTTAGAACAATCTCCTCTGCAGCGTGAAAGTGCAGATGACAGTATACATAGAACCAACTTACTATTGTTCCACGTCCAAACATCTTGGAAGTACAATCATGAATCTCCACAAATTTTGGTTGGTTCATGTTTTCCCCCCACATTCTAACAACTTATAATATATATATGAAAGACCAGAAAATTCTGTGATATTAATCGATAGGCTTATTACATATTCATAAATATACATCAAACTTTTTTCTTAGAGAATTTTCTTTATTAGAATATTCCAATTTTTGCAATTTCTCTATAAAATTACCTACCAGAAAATACAAAAACGTAGATGGCCATATGCTGATAATATATCTATTAAAATTACAATCCCAAAACATCGGCTTCTCCATACACCCAAATACTTCTTTATCAACTCGCATGACAAATCATTTCAGTGACTGCTATAACCGAACTGTAACCAGGAAAACCTTGGTTCACTCCTTGATGAATTTTACTGCCAATCGTAAATTTATGTTTCTTTGAACTGTTTCTATAGATTTTAAAAGTTGCTAAGGCTTTCCCAAGCCTCTTCACAACTCCTAACAGTATTCAATAATATGAAGTCTTCATCTAATAATTTTTCTTTTTTTTTTATAAGTATTTCATCTAATATTTGTGCGGATATATGGACATTTACAATCAAGCTCATAGGTGATCCATTTATCTTCACTGAACATGTCGTCAAAGCATCTGAATAGATCCCCTTAAAGACTCAACCAAGAGGCACTACAGATTTTGCCTTCAAATACTTTTTATCCATCTCACGATCCCCTTTTTATTCTTCAATGAAATAATATCAATTGTACTTCTACAATACATATAAAACGAGTTCTATATGTGACCCTTGTGAAGGAATCTTCTAACCTTCTCTATATCATTCTAATTTAAACAGCTGCATACAAAGAGACCAAATGAAACACCTTTCACTTAAGTAACAGATGGAAAACAAGGACTTCAAATTTCCAAATATACTTAGAATAACATCAATCTTTTGCCTAAAGCAAAGAATGACATAAAATTCAGTCAGAAACAATGATCTTGCGAAGTATACAGGTAAGTGGACACTGAATCTTTACCTCCAAAACTGTGTAAATCGGTAACGATGTTTCCCCATTGATGACGATGCTAAGAAGAGAACTATGGCGTCGACCGTAGGCAAGCAATATATGCTCAGAGGTAGGCGAGAACTGCACAAGGTAAATGCCCAATCTCAACATACAATACCATGAGGTCTTACTCATTACAGTTAATAACTTGTAGTATGACCACTTAAAAAGAAATGCAAGCATATACACAATATTCTGACATTTAAAAGATTAAGGGCGTGAAATTTAAAGCTAAAAAATATAAAGGGCGTCTGAGTTTTATTATACCATTGAGGATGCAATATGAATACTAGGTTTCAACTTCCAAAACTCAAATATCTAATTTTACAATTTTTGTCATCGTCATTCTTTTGCCTTTTAGTATTTTTGTCTTTAACTTCCAAAACTCTAGTATGAACTATAACTGAAGTGCATGCAACATCACAGCGACTCAAGGATTCCCAAAAGTCCATTCAGTCAGTAAATTATTCACTGCAAACACCAGCTATTCAAAAAGTTTGTTTCAATAACCTCATCAATAGATCTATAAGATTTTCAAGTTTCTTATGAAGTCCTTGCACCACCTAAAGACAAAAGTTCAAGTAAAATGAAATATAGTACCATACTTGAACCACTAAAATGGGCCAGTTCCAATGTTTCATGTCTCCAGAAATCTTCCATCCAGGACATCAATTACCCTTTCCAAAACAGCAAGTAGTCCATATTAAATTCCAAATAAGTAAAATTGCCCGTCTTGGAAAATGTATAAACCTCTTAACTGTTCTTCTAAAGTCCTTAAACTTTCGTTTAAGTTCAGTTTAAGCAAATTACCTACACTTAACAACCATCTTGTATCTGCAGGAAAAGAATTACACAGAACACCACCAAATGGGCCAGCTCCCATACATTAAAACAGTACTTAGAAATTCATTAAAAAAATTAAGCAATTGCAAACAAAAATCAACCTGCATACAAGGAAACTGTTGGGTTCAACAAATAAAAAATACAATTGAGTTACCACATCAAAGAGGCATTGTATCCATATTATACTTCAAAGAGGTAAACATGTGACATAGACATAACAAGAGCTGTCCAATAGTGAAATAGAAAAACGATGCCAAACATTTACGAATAAATAGAGCTATCCATATATATAATTTAAAAGAGGTAAACATGTGACGGACATAACATAGAGCTATCCAATAAATAAATGATATAAGAAACAATACCAAATATCTATGTAGCCAACTGACCTGAATTGAAGTTAAACAATGAGCAGCTCTGATTGTCCGCGATACAAGAATGGATCCAAAGCTATACAAGTAGAAGGAACACTAAATCACTATAGATACGATGTACATTTACCAGATCAGAGTAAACAATACATGAATTAATGAAGAGATTGAAGCTTTACGTTGCCTCCTCGAGGGAATATATCCGAAGCTCGTACATGACTTTATGTGCAGAGATTGGGTGTCGGGTAGGTGATCTTGCAGCTGCCGTGACATCCTGGAAATGCGTTGGTATTCCAGGATCAGCTTCCATTTGAGGAAGCACACATGCAACACAAGCAACCAAAAATCTCCCACAAGGCGAAAAATGGGCCCCCATTTCACTGCAATCGTACTTTCATTCAATGAGATTGTAACATACAGAAGACCACAAGATGACCAAACATATCTACTAGATTGCAGCATCTGCTAAAGATTTTGACCAAGCTTAGTTCATGTGCCATGAGAACATTTATCCAGAAATCCTAACATGGATGCCAAATACCATTCAAATTATCCATGTGTAATTCCTTTCATAGATATAAACTGAGTTCGTGGATTTAAAATCACATAATTTCAATTTTCAACCATACCTGCAAAGAACAGCATGCGGGATGGTTAGGCGGCACCTTTCAGCAACAAGTGGAGCACAAGGGCTTTTTATATCGTGTTTCCATATTCTTAGCTTAACAGTACAAGGTAACTCTGACGGTGCTGTGGAAGCCACTGAGGCAGCAAATTCAGATTGAATCCTACTAATGATACGAAGAGAATCACTGGTGGCATTATGAGGGGTATTAATAGAAGCAGCACCTTGCCTGAACTCGGTACCAGAATTCAAGGTGTGTGAATGACGATCCTGCAAGCCAGATCTTTCTGAAACCACGGATCGGTTTATGCTGGATGGCATTGCTAAAGGAGCCACTGGGGTCTCCGTGTTACAAGTAGGCAAATCAGATGTTAGCATTGCAGATCCCACAGCAAGATATTCAGATGAACGTTCATGTGTGCCACCATTGAGTGAAAGCGCTGAGGGCATGCCAGCTTGACTTTGACCCATTAACCATCCTTGCAGAAAAGGTAGTCCCCAACATGTAGGAGGGTCTCTGTAAGGTAAAAATTGATGTTGCCTAATTTCAACAGAAGCCCTATCTTGCAGGCAATATCTCGGTCCAGGAATTCCACTAGATTGAGAAATTAATGGTTCTGCACTATTTCCACCACCAGAAGAATCCAGATTAGAGATACACTGAAGGTGCCCCTCTGGGAGTTGCAATTCAGTGGTATCCATAACATCCATTGCAGTGTCACGAACAGAACACTGCATTCCAATGGTGCGATAATTGGTTGAAGTGTCCTCTGTAGTAGCACATGAATTAGAAGGTATATCAGGAGAAATCTCCATAGAAGACATCATATGGTCATGCTGCTCCGCTGCATTTGCATCTGTTTGAAACTGATTTGTAACAGAAGATTCAACCTGTATGCTACTTGAATTAACAGGTCTATTAGCAGGCTGCAGATCTGTCCTCAAATCATCTCTTGCAAATGAAGGTAAGCACAACAAAGGTAAAGGCATCAGAGGGAGTTCAGCAGCCGAACCAAGATGAAAACCGGAACCAGCATTTGCTACATATACAGAAGGAGGTGGGTAACGCAAACATCCTGGAGATGTTGCCTGGATCAACGAGGAATCTGAAGAGTCGAGATCATTGACCTGCATACCAGTCCAATAGTATAATTGATGAGACAGTACAAGCAAACAACCAACACAAATCCCTTGAGAAAAAGTTCACCTCAGCAGTTAAGAGAAATGGAGCGCCATGTGGATGAAAATGCACGGCTCGAAGTGAACGCTTTGTCTTCAATACAATAGTTGGTGATGAAGTCTCCCCTTTACTATTGTAAAGCCATATATATAACTGAAAATGGATTTCAAATGTAAATACTATGTATTCTACAGAAGTAATACTTTCACAAGGTAGACTTACTAGATTAAGGAAAATTAGAAAGAAAAAAAAAAATAGAACATTTAGAGCCACATATGAGGTTAATTAGATAGTAGACACCTTGTGCCCTGAAGCAACAGCAAGAACTTCTCCTTCGGCATGAAAAGCAATGGAAGCTATAGGACGGTCTGTTAAGAAAATAATGGAGCAATCATGTTCACCACATGCATGCAATTAGATAAGTTCAAAAAATAAATATAACATAATAAGTTGCTTATCGAGGAGAAGAGGAGGAGGAAGAGAAGAAATTACAAAAATCACGAGATCCTATACACTCTGACGTATTTGCATCCCATAAGCGAACTTCATGATCCAAACTTCCACTTGCTAGTATTTCTGGATGCTCTGGGTGGAATCGAACCTTTTAAAGCCCCACAAGCACACAAGTTAGGGAGGGTGACATGGTTCATCTATACGAATAACTAAAAAATGCAGTTATTAAGATCGCCAAACAGATGGAAAGTAAATTATTAGTTAAAAAATAATTTGTATTTTAATGGTATAAAGCATATCTATATATCAAAACCCTAAAAGAGTGATTGGAGAAATTAACTTTATTGAAACTACTATCCTTGTATATCATAACTTAATAAAAACGAGGATCTGAATACAAGAGATTGAAAAAATTTTCCTTGTATACCATAACTTAATAAAAACAAGGATCAAAAAAGAAGAGAAAGATCTATAATACATATTATGTTTGAGTTAATTTAATCACCAAAAGGTGCGTAGTCCTAGGGGTGTGGGGGTTTGGAAGTTTATTCGGCAGGGTTGGGTTGATTTTTCCAATCATGTTCGTTTCCGTCTCAGGGATGGTAGGCGGATTAGTTTTTGGGAGGATATCTGGTGTGGGGACATCCCTCTTGCTCTTACTTTCCCTCGACTGTTCAGGATTGCTTCGGATAGGCAGGCCAGGGTGATCAACTGTTATCATCTTGATAATGGGAGATTGGTTTAGGATGTTCGATTCAGGCGTCTGTTTCAGGATTGGGAAGTAGACGATGCCATTCGTCTTCTGGAGATTTTGTATCGGCAGGGTGTTATGGTCGGCGATCCTGATATCTGGTTGTGGGCTCCCAATGCTCAGGGTCGCTTTAATGTGCGGTCTTTCTTCAGATGTCTCACTCAAGAGAATGCTAGTCCTTTCCCGTGGAGGGCTGTTTGGCGTTCTAAGGCTCCTCTTAAGGTGGCCTTCTTTGCTTGGTCCTCTGTTTTGGGAAAGATTTTGACTCAAGATAATTTGAAGAGAAGGAATCAGGTGGTGGTTAATCGATGTTCTACGTGTCGTCGGGATGAAGAGTCAGTGGACCATCTTCTTCTGCATTGTCCTGTGGCCAAGGACTGTTGGGATTTGATGCTTGCCTGTTTGGCTTTCTTTGGGTCATGCCTGGCTCGGCTAGAGGTTTGATTGAGGCTTGGAAAGGCTCTTTTGTGGGGGCTCACATTCGAGATGCTTGGATGGCCACGCCTCTTTGTATTTGGTGGTGCATTTCGCCTGAGAGAAACAAAAGATACTTTGAAGGAAAAGAGTCTCCTATTTCTGTTCTGAAATTCCCCATTGTTTCCTCTCTTTTTTGTTGGGCTTCGGGTAGAGATTATAGATCTTTGGAGGACATTGTTGTTTTTTCATCCCGAAGGAACAACAAGAAGCAAAAACCACTAGGCCTTCAAAGAGGCCAAAAAAACAACAATGTCCTCCAAAGATCTATAATCTCTACCCGAAGCCCAACAAAAAAGAGAGGAAACAATGGGGAATTTCAGAAATAGGAGACTCTTATATATATCATGTGCAACTCAACATAAAATATTGCCCAATATAAAGCATAATGAGAAAAATAGAATTGAAAAGAAACAATAACCAACATATTAAATCCCAATAGATGGGAGACTTTTTGAGTGAAATTCTTAACATATCAACCATCCTTTAACAATCACACTTTTTGAACAATAATCACCATTCAAGCTAACAAAGTCCATTTGGTGCATCACACACAAATCAATCTTACCACCCAAGGAGTTCTTCGATGACCACTCAACACCTTTAAGCATCTTCCAGTTTGGCAATCAACTATCTTCACAGTGTGGTCACCACTGAAAAATACAAAACAAGTTAAATTTAAGGAAGATTATAGGCTAGCAATATAATCAATAAATCTACGGGGTACCAAACATGCAACACTTTTTTACCAACATGTTTTCATGTTTTTGCTTCCAAAAATCTTGCAACAATTTCACTTTACCAAACATGCTTCCAATCACAAATGAACACTCCACAACAAAAACATTGTTTCTGTTTCCTCTGGTTTGGATGAAAACAGAAACAGTTGTCAAACGAGCCCTACAAAATGCAACAACTTACTGTGTAGAAGCAAGTGTTTTCCCATCAGGACTAAATGCTGCTGCAATCGTTGACCTCGGAGTAGGCAACAAGGGGCAATATTTGGCTGATAAATGCCGAAATGACTCTGCCTCGGCCCTGACATAATATGAAAAATGTAAAACCTGTTCTATTATCAAATAAAGTGCCTTGGAAACAACATATGTCCACCACATATATGAAAACAGTAAAATAAGCAACTAAGAGCTGCACCAAATACCATGAATAAAGACCACGCCTTGCATCTCTCACTGTCCCTCTCGGCTCAAAAGTGGACTCAGTAGTGCGTTTGGAGGCTTCTCCCCATTGCCATCTTCGAGAGCATTTTGTTCTTGGGGATATCTCCCTCCGGGCTAACAAGCAAAAGACATTTCTACCACTAGCAAAATTTTGAAGGACCACTGAATCAGAAGATAATATAACACAATATCATTTACTAGAAAGTATGTGAGTGAGAATGCAATGCTATTGAAAGGCCAGCAAGTCAAACTGGATTTCAAAATGCACCAAGTCAAAATACAGAATGCAATGCTGCAAGTGAATCAAGTGCGCGTCACAAAAAATTCAGCACAAAAATTAGTGACAATTTTCTTCTGCTCCCAAGTATTAATAGGGAAAAAGGTGGAAGTATAATCTGGTCAACTATGAAAAGTCTAGATGTGATCCAAATGAAGGTTGTAGATTCCTAATACACACAACACGTAATTTTTCAAGTATATGCCACTTGGAAGTTGGATCCAAGACCTCCAAATGCATAAAAGTTGGTGGAGATTTTCTCTCTTTTTCTTTTTCTTTTTCTTTTTTTTTTTCTTTTTTTTTTTTTTCTTTTTTTTTTTTTTTTTTTTGTGGGGGAGGGGGCAGTTAAACCCACTTCCCACCCTAGCACACACTAAAAATAAATAAAAGTAATATGACTGGTAATGACAAGAAAGCCCAACCAGATTCTAAGTATGAAACTACTGGAGTTCATAATTCCTCAATGCGAAAGCTAATCAAATACAACAATGTTCAGATTCATCCTCAACCAAATGCATTTCTACTAATAATCTTATAATTAGGAGTAATTTTTACTTCACTCGGGTTAAAGTCTTCATACATTTCAGGTGCAATGCACATCCTCCTAACAATGACCAAAAATTATATCTTCAAATTTCTAGTTGTTAGTCAAAACTATAAGAAGGTCTCTATTGGTGGGCAAGTGTGTGAATATAATATATATATATATATATATATATATATATATATATATATATATATATTATAGGTTATTGGCAGTGTTTGAATAAATTGCCATTTGCGCAAAGTTTTCTAGCTTTTCCCATTAGTATAGGGAATGTCTTGAGGTTACTAATAATAAGATAAAGGTGATCAATAGATAAACGTAATATAACTAATAAGAAAAAGAATTCCACAATATATTCTCTTCTTAGGTGAATCACATACTCCATCAGGACTCTTAACACTCAACCTTCCATTTGGAATGAAGAGGTCATACCACTAGGGCTAAGCCCTTGGTGGTTGCACATTATATTAATGTATGTAACTACTTAACTTCATAATTCCTGAATACAAAAGTAAATCAGACCCCACCGGTTTCCGGTTTTATCCTCAATAATATCTTAAAAGTTGGGAGAAGATTTTGTTTCACTCACCATCAACACAATTAAAGTTGAATGCAACTTTTTTAGATTGATGTAAAGCAAAGTATTCATGAAACGGTTGAATTACTCCCTCCTCCGTCTTTTTAAGAGAATGTGAATTTAATACACTATCCTCTTTGAAAAATACACGAACGAATTTAAAAAGTATTCAGATTCTGAGAAGTTTAAAGTTAGAACTTAGAAGATAAAATAATAATAATAATAATAATAATAATAATAAAATAAAAAAAAAAGGTTGACGATTCCGAATAATAGGATAAAATGAGAAAAAATAGACTGAGATGTTTGGACATGTATCAATAAGTGAACTAGTCAGGAGGAGGGGAAGACCAAGTTTGCGCTTGGACACAAGCAATTGAGAAAATGTTTTGTTGTTGTGTATGTTTCAAGCATAATATACGTAGACACATGTCCAATTATCATATGGGCATCCTAGCTTTTGGATTTCCATTTTGCATAGGAATTTAAAGAATAAAATCAAATGGAATTGGAACTTTGCGCAATCCAGTATTGAAATTCGAGTCCCAAAAAAAAAAAAAACAATCTGATCAAAGTAAAACATCAATCAAATTCTCAGTTTTCGATCCGGAATTCTACGGTGCACCATGATCAAATTCAAATGATAAATAATAAAGAAAAAGTTACACAAATTTGATCTCACCTGTGATCGATTTGGGGTTCGGACGACGATAATGGGACCATGTCTACATCATCAGACCGTGAACAACCCGCCATGTTCTTCACAATAAATAATTTCTGGAGAGAGTTGCGGAGAGAAACGTAAATTGAACCCTAATTATTCTTAAACAATATATTTCTCTCCAAAACTCTCCCCTCTCTATTGATAAATAAATAAATATGTATATATATATATATATATATATATATATATATATATAGCTTTATTGATTTCGATATCAAACGGCGAGAAACCCTAAAGAGAGAGCAAATGCACCCTGGGGTGAAAATGTAAACGAGCGCTGCCCCCTCTCCGGATTTCTTCCGATTCGTTTCCCTTTCCGTGTTTTAACCGTGTGTAACGTTTGTTTAGGAGCGGGACAAAAATATTTACAGCACCCCCTTTGGTTTAGGGCCATTAATAACAACCTGAATCTGCCTCGGCCCATAAAACATTTAGGATCATACTAAAATTTGAGTATATTTACATACACGTAGATTGTTTGAGCATTTATTATTTTAATTTTTCATAAAATTATCTGTCGAGTTATACTAAACTTTTAGTATATTTACATACACGTAGATTGTTTAAGCATTTATTATTTTGATTTTTCATAAACTTATCTATCCGTAGCCGAAATTAAAAAAAAAAAAAAGGCAGTAATACTTTTTCCTTTTTTTATGTAAAAAAATATATATATTATTATTTTATAAAATTTGGTCTTGAATGAATGGTCCGAACTCCGGATGCATGTGTGTTTTGTCCAAATCTAATTTATCAAAACAATTAACAAGTTAAGAAACCAATCTCATAAATTCCCTTCTACTTTTGCCTTCTTGCAACCAAGACCTCGTGTAACCAGATTTAAGTAATTTTTTGATAAAATTATTATATTTTTTTATGAATATTAATCATGTTATCTGTTCTTTGATAATTCAAATCAACACTAAATTCTAAATAGATTGTTGCTTAATTCTTACCATATTTGTTTATTTGACTATTGGTATGAAGGAGGATATGCGAACCAAAAAAAAGGAAAGTAAATATGTAAGTTTTAAATTAAATATTATCCTAAATTATATAAGTTTTAAATTACAAATTCTTTATAAATTATAATACTATAAATATTATTGGATAGAATGGTTAAAACAATTAAAAACAGTATACGCTGTCACATCACCAATTATTATGTATTTTATACCACATTTTTACACAACCATATCAACATATTTCCTCTATTCTCTCTTTCTCATTCCATTAACGAATCAATCATATATTAAGTAGATTTGTAAAAAATATGTGGGGTCCACATATGATAATGATTGGTTGTTATTTGTAACACAAAGTGTATAAAAAAAAACTACTGAAGCTAAAAATAAATAATTCAAATTTTTTATGTCACAACAAAATATACACAACGGTTGAAAATGCTCTGAGTTTGTTGTATTCTCTTCTCTTCTATCAAACAAAACAAAAAAATAAAGAAATACACAATTTTTTCCCTACAAGTCTCATCCATCATTTTTTCTCTCCCTTGCATAAATTTTTTTTCTTGCCTACCATATAGGCCATTAATTCTAAATATTTGACTAGTGGAATGATGGAAAATATGTGGAGAGAAAACAGGAATGAATTTCTTTTGTTATGTAGAAACTAAACGAAGAAATAAAATAAAATTGTAAGGATAATTCTTCTTTTTTACAAATTTTCATGGCTGGAATAAAGGAAGGAAGATAAGTAGATTGTTATAGAAGTTTTAAATCAACTACTATCATAAATTATACAAGTTTTAAATTACATTACTATTTTCTATAAATTACAATATTATAAATATTATTATATATAATAGTAAAAACAATTAAAAATTTATTTTTCATTATCTCTTACCAAATATAAACAATTACAAGCTTATTATCTCATCTTATATCTAACCAACTAAAAAGAAATAAATACTCAATCTACTTTATAGGATGTCTTATCCATCACTTCTTATCTTCCTTCAATCTACTATTTTTCTTTCTTATGGAATTGGAATTGCTTCTTTAATGCTTAAAAATACTTTTATTTTTAAAAATTGCATTTAAATTTGTTTGGTAACGCTACAAATGGTAACCAAATTTAGTTCCTCGTTTGAATGAAGTTATAATTTTAAACTTATAAAACTACGTTTTGAGTAGATGTTAGAACATTTTAGGTAAAATTTTTTCATTATACAATTTTGTGCATTTTATTTTTTGTAATGATAATTACACTCCTTTCTTAATAAAGTTGATATTGTAAAAAATTTGTTAAAGGATATTATTGTAAAATTAGCAATAAAAGTGTTTAATATATATATATATATATATATATATATTACAAAAAAAATAAAAATAAAATCATTTAGTTGTGAAAAATACTTATTATAATGTGTCATCGACTCATCAAACACCACCTAACATGCTGTTTACTGACTACAATTTATGAATAGATCTATCGATAAAAACATTTTATTTAAAAAAAAAAAAAATTCTAACAACAACCCAAAATGGAAACATTAAAACACAATTTAACTATAAAATTGAATAAATCTTTAAATGACCATAGTAGCATCATTTTCATTATGATCCCCTTTTCTTCCTCAAATCACACAATTAAATAATTATCGATGTTTTAAATTTTTTAAAAAACACAACGGAACCATCCCATCACATAGCCAAACCAAACTCTATGATTTGATTCGATCTAATTTATTAATTATAATATTTGTTGTCTTTGCACCCCTAATTTGTTTTGTAAAATATTTGTGTAGTCACAATTAATGTTAACAAGCCAAAAAAAACATTGGTCATTTCGCAGTTTTAGGGTGTTTTGTCAAATTGAAGGGATCCTATGCACGGGGGAGACCGGATTTCAGGTTTTTTTTTTTTTTTTTTTTTTTTTAAATGGAATTTAAATAGTCAAAGAGAAAACAACCAGAAAATTAAGAAATAATTTTAGAAATTAATAATTTTAGGGGGACATTTTACAATATATATATATATATATATATATATATATATATATAGTAGTGATCTCTTACTCCGCGTGGAACAATAAAATTATTTCACACTTTCTATAGTGACCATTAGATTAAATCTAATGGTCACATTCCAAATCCACCTATATGCTTTTCTTTTATTACAAAATCACCATCACTATTTGTAGTAAACTACAATAATAAAATATAACTACCAAACAAATAAAAATAGAAATCGCTTCACCTCTGGAACGTCTCACCGCCACTAATCCGAATTTTTGTTTTATTTGATGTATTTGTTGTAACTTTACATATTAGCTACCTTTCAAAAATTTTTTTTTTTAAATAATAAATGCACTCCATTTTTCTTCAATTGCACTACACTTACCTTTTTCTCTTAAAAGAAATGACAAGAAGTTCCTTAAATTCATTAATGCATTATTCTTTAATTTATAATGTCATAGCTACCATTTATACAACTTCAACATTTTTTACCTTATTTACTTTATTTATTATTATTTTTCCTTTCTATTTATTTTTTGCAGAGGTCCTCTCAAAGAAAATAATCTTGTCCATACTAATAATTTATTTTTTGACAGTCAAAAGAAATTATTTATTCTATAATGACTTTTTTTTTTTTTTTTTTTTGTATAATTGAAAGGATATTATTCAACAAAGTTAAATTTTTTTAGTCAAAAGAGGTAACTTTTTTCTTTTTTTTTGATAATTTTTTATGGGTTATGTCAATAGAAATAATTTATTAGATAAAAATAACTTTTTTTTGGGGGGGGGGGGTCTTATAAAAAGAGATAATTTATTCAAAAAAAAAAAAATTCGGGGTTTTTTTTCATGTCAAAAGAGATAATTTTTTTTAATGGTTATTATTATTATTTATTTTTTGTCCAATCAAAATATGCAATTTATTCAACATAAATTTTTATTTCTTGGTACCGTAAAAAAAAAAAAAAAAAAATTCAGTTATTCAATTTATTTTTTATTTTGTCAAAAGAGACCTGAAATAATAAAGATTATAGATAAGGAGAATAAATCTAAAAGGATAGTTTTGTCATTTAAAAAGTAATAATTATTTACTTGCAAAGTTACGGTTAAAATTGCCATTTCATTTAAAATTGTAGTACAAATATTGAAAAGTGTAGTGCGGATATCGCCTCCCAATAATAATAGCATATTAAATAAAACATTAAGAAAAACAACTAATTTACAAATAAAATATGAAAGTATAATAATAGCATGTTTTGTCATGAATATTCTAATTACGTCAATTATTTTTTGTTATTATAGCGGAATTAGAAAAAAATATATTGTTCTACTTATTATGACATATGAGTAATTGGAATGCGTTTACAACTAATTAGAAACTGAAATAAAATAAAACAAAATTAATAAGAAAGGCGAGACAATTTGTGACAAAGGGTCAGAGAAAAATAGATTGAATTTCTAATTTTTAAATAGCATGCATTTAGGGAGGTATACAATATTTTAAATTGTAAGTGAAGTGTTGTGCAAACAGCAGGTTACCTTAAGTTGATTAAGTAGATAGAAAAATAGATATTTTATTTTTAATTTTTTATTATTTTTTAGTCAATGTTTTCGTATGCCAATAGTGTAATGTTTAATTTATATTTCACAGTCAAACAAATAGGCAATGTCAACTTTAGTATCAAGTTTTTTTTTTATTAACCAGGAGTGTCCGGGATGGCACGAACCTTTAGGGTCTCTCAACAACCCGACTAATTACCGAGAATTGAAGGGAGCCTTCCCACTCGAGTAGGGTAAGTCAATGTAGCTGTAGCGAAGACTAGTCACAAAGAACATCCAACAGCACTTGAACCCGAATTCCAAAGTCCAACGAGTAAATCGTTAGGCCATATCCGAAGTGGATAACTTTAGTATTAAGTTATGGATGCAATTTTCTAATACTTATAATTTTTTAAAAATAAAACAAAGTTCCGATTAGTGGTGAGACATGATTTTGAGCAGTGAAGAGATTTTTATTTTTATTTTTTCTAGTATTTACCTTTTATTGTTATAATTAGTATTGATAAATATTAAATTCGGAAGCTATAAATAGTGATAGTGGTTTTGTATTAAAAAGAAAGCATATAGAATATGATCATTAAATTACTATAAAAAATGCGAAAGAATCTTCTTACTTCACGAAAAACAAGAAATCACTACTTTATCACATGTAATATAGTTGGCAGTCTAGACAAGGGGGGCAAGTGCTCCTGAACATATACGGACTCCACTCCTGATTCTATGCACAATATTCACACACACACAGAGGCACGCAGTCAAATTAAGGCATGGTTCTCATTTTATTGTTTAATTACAAATATGAATTGATGTAATGATATATGAAGGGTAATTACCATTATATGAAAGGTATTCGTGAGAGTGTCGACAGTGACTAAGAGAGCGATGGATGCGGTGAAGGGAGGGGGAGGTGGAAGAAGATGGCGATGGTGGAAAGCGGCGGGGTGGTTGCAGAAAGCATAATTATTATTACTTTAAGGATCTGTTTGTTTGGGTGTAAAATATTTTTTAATTTTTTAATTTTTATTTTTTGGTGTTTGGTTGTTGTAAAAAAAAAAAATCAAGTTATTTTATATGTCCTGCATGATGGACTTGACTTCAACCTTGACGTAGACTTTTGCCAAATCGACAAAGTAAAAATAAAAAAAAAAATATTTTACTTGAAAATAAATATTTTTCAATTTTTTTTGCGTCGAAACAATCGAGCCTAAATGTCATATCAAATGAGAGAATAGATGTAACAGAATTTTCATTTCATTCTATTAAGGGACCAAGAGTCATTTAAATATAGTTGATTAAATGACGAGTAACATAAAAAAAAAAAAAAATGGTAAGATTATTCATACAACCATATTCATATCGGATTATACTCCCATTTGAACTTTTTAGTAAATGAAAAGAGCATTTATGAGGTCCAGCTCTGGACAAAAGATAAAATTGATGAGCAATAAATGAAATGACAAAACTAGTCATGAAAAAAAATTGAAGCATAAGAGTATTTTAAAAATATAACAATATTCCAATGTTTTTGTTTTTTAATAAAAAAAAATTGGTAAACAAAGTACAAGTAGATAAATATATATTCTCCACAATTGAATAATATAATATAGTTTTTTCACATTTTAAATCAAAATTCCACTTCATTGAAGATAAAAAGAAGTGAAATGCACTTGTTAAGGGTGCCAACATTGCCAATGATATACCAATTCAATTTTATAAGTTATGTTTGGTTGGACGGAAATAGTATGAAAGAGAAAAAAGAAAAAAACAAGGAAAAATAAAAGTGAAATGCACTTGTTAGTGGAAAACCAATATTGCCATTAATTTGGCAAACCAATTTTATAGATTTTGTTTGGTTAAAGTAGGAAAGAAAATGGTAAATTTAGAAAGAAAAATAAAAAAACATGTTAAGAGTTTGATAGCAGAAGAAAATATATATTTTTGTTTGGTTAAAGTAGGAAAGAAAATGGTAAATTTAGAAAGAAAAATAAAAAAACATGTTAAGGGTTTGATAGCAGAAGAAAATATATTTTCTAAAGTAGGAAAGAAAATGGTAAATTTAGAAAGAAAAATAAAAAAACATGTTAAGAGTTTGATAGCAGAAGAAAATATATTTTACAGAAAATACAGAAAATATATTTTCTTCTGCTATCAAACTCTTAACATGTTTTTTTATTTTTCTTTCTAAATTTACCATTTTCTTTCCTACTTTAACCAAACAAAATCTATAAAATTGGTTTGCCAAATTAATGGCAATATTGGTTTTCCACTAACAAGTGCATTTCACTTTTGTTTTTCCTTATTTTTTCCTTATAATTACCTAACCTTTTCATATATTTTATTTTTAACCAAAAAAAAGAAATTTGTTATTTTATTGATAAAATCACGTGAACCTTTTAACTATGCCCCTCTTTTGTCTATTTTATTTTTGATAAGAAAAAGACAATTTTAATAACAAAATTATTTTTGACAAGGTATAAATTAATGGCAATATAGGTATTCCACTAACAAGTGCATTCTACAAAAATTATTTATTTAATTTTTATAATAAGAAAAAGACAATTTTACTAAATCATTATATTTTGATGGTATACAAAAATGATATATTTCATATTTTTTTGAAATATTTTCATACATTGATTTATATTTCACACTTGATACCGTGGTACACTTCTTCCATACTACTTGCACGTGGTTGACGCGGGTGAAAGAGGAGCGCGGTCCAGACAACCATCCAGTATTCAAGTGCCCAAAGCAGAAGTGTGTTCAACCCCCGGCAATAAAATCCACCCACCCAGCTCTCCCTCTTTCTCTTGCCGCGAAAGTATTGTTTTGTTGAACTCTAAGATCTATGTTTGGTTCTTACACCTCATCCTCTCTCTCTAAAACATCTCTCTGAAACAGAACATCCAAACCTCCTTTAAGTTATATCCACTACATTCCATGGATACATAAATAAACAGACCTGCATTGTTATCTGTAATCCAGGGTTTACCAACCACTCTTTGCGCATTCAAAGTCATGCACTCTTCTTCTCTTTCGAATTCAGAAGGAGATAAATAAGATAATGAACTCCGCCGACGGCAAGCACCCCAGCGGAACCCTATGAATTTCCGTCAACACTCCGGCGAGGCGGTCCAGATTCGTGGTTTTGGATTCTGACCACGGTGTGTGTGAATTTGATTCTAAACAGAGAAGATGCGACATCTGATTCTTCTTCTTTATCTTCTTCTCACTCTGGTCTCCACTAGCGGTAATTGACCTTTTTCTAATCTCTTTAATTGTTCGGATTGTTAGTTTTACACAATGCTTGGTTACCGAGAAAAAAAAAAAAAAAGAAACGAAAAGAAAAGAAAATTGCGAGTGTTCTGCTTTCTGTTGTTTTGGATTATTGATTCCAATAGTTATTTCAGGCCCATTCGAGTGCGGTGTCAAGATTCTGAAATTTTAATTTATTTTCTCACTTGTTTACAATTTTATTGGTAACCAACCAGATGTGTGCTTGGACCATCAGGGCAGTTGGTGTTGCGTCATTTAGGCTTTCTTTGTGTGACGATGGTCTTTCCATTTTTGTGAAAACATTTGTGATCCCTTCCCATAGAATTAAAATATTTAAAATAAAACATCCATAACAGTGACAATTAAAATAAAATATCCATAACAGTGACAATTATTCAGTTTATCTGATAAATACAAAACCCCCCTTTACAATGTGAAACAATGAACTGCCTATTCAATGATGAAAGCCATGGGTCAATATTACAATGCCACATCCCTCTCCTCCTTTTAAGGAACTGCACTTGTTTTTTCTTAGTTTGGGAGGTAAAGCAGGATTGGATTTATGGTTTCATTGGAATGCTGGGGTATATTTATGGCCGTAAACTAGTGAATGGTATTCTTGATTCCTTGTTTTTGCAGTTTGTGTCAGCTGGCTATACATCTATAACATATTTATTTTGAACTTTTACATAATCTAGTTATCTTACAGGTGAACGCGGTAGCATCTAGAAATGACAACAATTTCTTACTGGCGTTAATTTTGCATTCAGTGTGCAGTGAATTAATGGCATAGGCTTCGCTCATAACCTCCATAGAATATTCTTTTCCCTTATCCATTGTTTTTAACTGCAGACGGGGCATGAAACATTGGTTCTTGGTTAACAATCTTCCTTTTGCCACTATCTTTCTTTCCAAAAATGCAGTTTTTTAGAAAATGAAAGCAATACGATTCATCTTCATCTTCAGCTTTTGGCTCACATGTTAGTGCAACGTACAAGAAAATGTTCTGAAAGAGTGAAATCCAGTATTTATTTATTTATTTGTTTTGTTTTGAAGATTTTCCATGTATTTAGTTAATAATATTGATTTTCTGCAGTGTAATGTGACTTAGCAGTTGCTGTTTGATACTTGAGCTCACTTGTATGAGACGTTGAATTTTACTGAATTTCTACATTAATGTCGATATTGTTACATGTTGGACGCCATGCCTCAGTATCGGGGGAATTAATTTAGATAATGATCAACCCGTTTATAAAATGGTATTATTGTATTCTGATTAAGAATGCAGAAGAAGAGCTATAACGAATATATTGTTTGACTCTCTCCAGTCAGCTAAACTTGAATTTAGAAAACTAATTAAACAATTAAGCATCAATTACTCTTGTTGTGGTCTAGTACAGGGGCAGAGCCAGAAATTCAATTCAGGGGGACACAGTGTAAAAGATAAAATAAAATCAATGATCAATGAACATGACAAATATAGGTTCTTCAAATCAAGAGGTGAATAAGAAAAAAAATGTTGTAAAATAATATGTCAATCGGTGAGTGGTATAAGAAAGATAAATAATTGACAAATATAAGAAAAAGGAAAGAAAAATGAGAGAATTTTGAAAGGAAAAAAAATTAGAGTTTGATTCAAGGGAAATTTATCTATTTATTTATTAATGAAATTAAACAAAACTTTAAGGGTAAAAGAGAAAAGAAATAAAAAGTTAAGAGATAATTTTAGAAAATAAAAATTTTAGGGGGGGAGGCCCCCGGGCATCCACTTGTCTAGTATAATTAAAAAAGTCAATCCAAACATTCAAAGGTCATCGACTATTTGGTTAATGTCATGAACTAAAGGGCATTACATAGTGTTGTTCCCACTTACACGGGCCACTGGTATGGAAACACTGGAAATAGACTTAAGTTAGTATTTTGCACAAAGTGGTTACTCTTAGATTCGAAAATTTAAACCCATTTTCTCACATTTGTCCACGCCAGGAATGTTCATTGTGTCTGAAAAGTCCGCATTTTTAAAGGATGATCTGAAATTTTCTGGTATGCTGGGCACATTAATCAATTTGGCTTTCTCTGCCACAAGACCTGTATTATAATCAAGTATCTTGTCAACGTAGAGTAAATATCAATGCTATATCTTGTGCATTGCGACACATGAAAAGTAGAATTCAATCATATCTCTTGATGCGAGGTAGAGTGGTGTGCTTGTTCTTTACATTATACTAATATATAGGTTCTTCATTCTTCAGGGTTTCCATTACCACAGATAAACTCGTCTCCTACTATACTGCCGCGGGAATCATTATCTTTGAGAAAAATCTCACTGGAACATGGTAAAGGTGCTGAATTTCCATAACTACTTCGCATAGAATTGAAGTTTTATTTCCTTATTGTTCTTCTTCTTCCCTTGTTTTGCCTTCTGATTTGTATTGGTATGCTTTTGTAAGTGTAATCTTAATTTTTAAACCAATATTGTTCACTGAATTGTCTATTTGACAAAAAGGAACTTCATCACAGCATAAAAATTAATGAGGTTGAGGAAGAGTTTAGAAGGAACATTCATATTGGAAGATTCATGCAATTTCTATTAGTTGTGCAAGTCACCAATTAAGGGAAAGTTATTGTTGGGAAGGGAAGCACACATGTTATAATTCTGCATGTTGAAATTCAATGTTCAAAGACACACACACACACACACACACACACATATATGTATATATATATGTTTTATGGGTCATAGGTGTAACACCTGTTCCTTGTCCTTATATAGTTTATTCATCCTTCTATTTTATTGATAAAAAATGCTATGAGTAGATGCTGGAGGATTATGTGGAATTCAGGAAATAAATTTGTCATTTAATTTTATTTTTTGGATGTTTTAGATGATTCAAACTTTATATTCTAATAATTTTTTTTTTAATAAAATGATTTAAATTTTGATTTAAATTTTTTTTCCTTGTAATTGTCACACCTTTTTTTTGAGGATAAGGCTTTTGACCTTGGAAATAAATTTTAATTCTTTTTTCACTCCCCTTATCTGAATGCAAATCTTCTAGATCGCTCTGGATTATATTTAATGTTTTTCTTTTCGGTAGATCTACTATACTTTCAGTTTATTTTGTTGGCTTACTTAACTCTTTAACCAGAATAACACACTCGATTTTTTATATCATTAAAGATTATGCCGATCGTAAATTTTGAATTCTGTGCTCTTATGAAGGAAAGTTCATCTTTAAATATGTAACATATAGGAAATAAGCTCGTGTCATTGTGTGTGCATGCACATATTGCTCAAACTAATATGGACAAAAGTATGAGCCTTTTTACACGGGCATAGTGTATCTGGCTGTGCAACCCAAAACACCTATAATGACTGTTATAGTGGCCATGCTATTATTTGTCAAACATGTGGACATGTTTTATGTGTTGATATGGCAAAAAAAAACTAAAGCGTCCTGCATGTATATTATATGTTGTATAGGTAATGTATTTTGTTTTAAAGAAGTTATAAATGCTCACAGTTCTTTGGTAATGCTAAACATCAAAGAGTATTTTCAATCCTTCCGAATATTAATTTAAATTTTTAGATCACATTTATCAGTTCAAAGAATAACGGAAAAGCATTTTTTGTTATTTATTGGCCTCCTTAGTTTAATGGGGTTCGATACTGCAATGCCTTTTATTTATTATTTTTTTTCCCCCTGGTTATTCTCTCTATCTCTCTGCTTCTTGGTGGTAATCCCTGCTCATCAAGGTCTCATGTTTCATGTCAACTCTTTTTGGTATTTGTGTGAAAATATTTGTCTATGCATGTGGGCAAATAACATAAAATTTGTTCTATTGTTTGCAGTGAGGATGATGTCAATGAGGGCATTGTTTGCTCCATTAATAGCACCCCATACATGGCTGTTTAAGCCTTATTTGGAGCCGTCGATTGTACCTGCACCTTCTCCAGCATATCGAGGTACATACTATTTTCATTGTCTGAACTCTTGTGGAAACACTTTCTAGGTTTTTACTTATGTTGGAATCCTTCTCTTTTAGGTCACATTGCTGCTCCTAGCAATACCTTGCCAAAAAATCATCGTCATCATCATCGGGTGAGAACTCATGCTGTCTCCCCGGCTCCTTCTGCAATATCAGGTATTATATCGGCGTTCATTGTGTATCTGTTTAGTCACAATAAACTGTGTCTTCTCTCATAAATTGTTTCAATCTGATAGGCTTGTTGTGCTTTGGCCCTTCTGGTGGCTTTCATTGAGGGCTGCACACTTGATAGGATGGAGTCTTTATTTGTAGGAATTTTGTGGGACAGGCCCATACATGTAGTCTTGGGCCTTCCTTTCGAGTCTTCTTGAAGATGTGCATCCTTGATCCTTTCTATGAAGAATGGATAGAACTGCTACAATGCCCCAGGGGATAGGTACTGATGTAGTCTCCGTCCCATTCTAAGCGTCCCTTTTTGGGAACCTAACTGTTTAAGATGTGTCTTTTAATACTTTTTTATTGTATTACGGTAATATTAGTGAATGAATTACCAAATCTGTCCATGGTGGGTCCACAGTGATATGATGAAGTTTTATATTTAATTTTTTTTATAAGTTAAATGCAAAAAGGGTAAATTGGAAATGTAGTAAAATATAGTAAATTGACTTTTGAATATGGACAATTATTTTGGAGACAGCTAAATATGGAAAGGTGGACACTTATTTTGGGACGGAGGGAGTAATTCTCATGGTTTTTGAATTTTGATTTGGCTTCTATGACTTTTATCTCTATTCGAAAACTGGGTGCTTCATAAAAAGAGAATGCAGTGCTGTGTTGCCTAATACAAAAGTAGAAAGAGAAAGAAAAGTTTATCATGATTTGTTTTGCTAACAAATCAGCTAGACACAACCTTGTTTTGGACACACTTGTTGCATGAGTTGCTCTTGAGAGTTGAGATTTACCTTCTCCAACAAATGCTGGTTGATCTCAACATGCTTAGAGAGTAATGGGTTTTTGGATCGTAAGCAACACTTATTGTAGCTTTATTATTTTAATATGAACTGATGGATGTATGAACTGTTTCATACCAGAACACTATAATTCAGGACTTGAAAGTTGCTTTGGCACTGGACCTAGCAACCATTATATGCTTTTTAGTTTTCGAATAGATTCGCATGAACCCATCTAATAGCATACAAGAACAACAAGCCTTTTCTCAATTACTTGGGATCGGCTACAAAAGTAGCCATGTTTTGCTACAACAAACCCTTCTTAGGACACAGTGATGCACTTTTAAGTATGTTCAGATATGTATTTTTTAGTTTTTAATATTCTAGCCTGTAGATTATTCTTGGTCTTGTTTCACATATATTTTGATTGAAGAACAAATATTGATTAAAATAGAAGGGTAGGGGACTATGAGGGTGTGAAGCCCATCTATAAAATGTTTAAGGTTCTAACATATGAAAAAAGAGAATACATTTTTCATCTATAAGAAAGTTGTTTATTATAATTAAGATTTTTATTTAATTATTCGCAACTTGAACCACTGAGCTTGGATAACATCAAGGTAGTGGATTAATAAGTGCTCCTGGTACATTAAGGATGTTAAAAAAAAAAATTAAAAAAATAAACTAGTGTTCTTTTTACTAAGGGTTAAGTAAACACCCTTCTTATATGCATATAGTGCATATAATGAGTTAATAAATGTTCTTGGTACATTAAGGATGTAAAACGAAATTCATTAACTAGTGTTCTTTTTACTAAGGGTGAAGTTCAAAAAATATCCTCCTTATACGCATATAGTGCGTATAACCCCCTCTTGTTTGAAAAACACTCTTAAACTTCATTTTTGGTGCAAATGAGGGCCTACCATCAATTTACCGTTAATGGATGTTTTAAAAGACTTAAATACCTTTCTCACTGTTGATGAAAAAAGGAAAGAAAAAAGAAGGAGGAGTTTTTGATAAGGAAATAAAGGACAAGACATACGACGTCATTTGGCTTGCCCTAAAAGACCCAATGGACCTCTCACCACTTTCTTTGTAACTGAGCTCTCCCTCATCTCTCTAACCGCTAATCTCCCCATCATGACCATTGACTCTGACTCATTGAAGTCCAAATCCAAGTCCAAACCCAAGCCCAAACCAATGCCAGTGCCCCATCATGACCGTCGATTCCAACAATGGAGAGAACACTATCTGTACGAAAGTCACACACCTCCACAGCTGACGATGAAACTGGACATTCTGTAATCTCTGTTCTCTTTTCATCGTAATTAGGGTTTCACCCATGGATTCTAGTCAAGAACACGATGATTTGGCCAACATTCCATCCTCACAAGCCCACTTATATCCACTGTATACTTTTTCGTTTACAATCGATTACAATTTCTTCCATCATTTATTTATGCTATGTATATATGTACATGGTATATAATTATACGTATATGTATTGCAATGTATGAATTAGAGTTGTTTCTTGCACATGGACAACACTTACACTTGATATTAGCCTTCTATTTGACAAACGGAAGCAAACATATACAGTTGTGAAAAATATACATATCTTGGAGATGGAATTGCATCTTTGACCTGGAATTTATATATAAAATTTTTGTTAGTTCGTATGATGATCTTGTAATTTAATTTTTTTAACATGCTCTTGGCAGATTGTGGTCAAATATGCATGGAGCCGCTTACTTCAACTCCAATTGGTTCACCTTGTGGTTGTGTGGTTCCTATGAAACTTAGACTTCTTTTTGATGTATCTCTTTATGCCTTTTTTCCCGTGGTTAATGAGCTTGAGGTGGAGGTTGCAGCAGGCACATATCTAAAACAAAGTCAAGTGATTATAATTGGTGCCAGTGCTGATGGTCAAAATCAGGAAAGAACTGTAGTAGATATTAACCTGGTTCCTTTGGGGGAGAAGTTTGATAATACCACTGCTACACTGACATATGAAAGATTTTGGGACAGGAAAGTGCCTCTAAATAAGACTCTTTTTGGTAATTATGAGGTGATGTACATTAGCTATCCAGGTAGTAACCTTGACTCCCTTACTTATTGTCTTATGTTATTCCATTATGTGACAATGCTGTTGTAGAGTCTGAAGGAACTATTATCAGGGCTTCCATCTTCACCATTGTTTGGGAGTCAATCGGGTAATGGTCCAAGTGGAAGCGCAGGAATTCAGCAATTCCCTATCACTGCAGATTTTGTTGACAAGAGCCAGAAGATGAACCCTAGAATTATTTTTATCATTGCTTTGTCTGCTTTAGTACTCTTGGTGGTTTGCTGTGGAGCAGTTTCCCTCGTCTTGAAATGCAGGAAGGTTGGAAGACCATCAAGTGCTGTTGGACCTGTTTTCACACCATCTATAAATAAGAGATCTGGTATGCATTTGGGTTAGTGCTCTTACTTGTTAAGAGGGATATATAGATAGAGATAATTGCATCAGTTTTTCTTGCAGTGGTTTGGAATTTTATCTGGTGAATAAAGCTCTATTGGGTCATTGTTTAATGCATTTTCCATTAGTCTACTGCATCTCTGTGTGTAACTTTGTCTATATACTGGATGCCTTTTCTCTTTGATGAAATAGGAAAGTTAGCAATATGCCTCTAGGCCTTGGCTCAGTTGGCAAAGCAAAATAATGTTTTTATGTAACATAGTGTTCAAAGTAGGCATTTAACTTGTTTTAAAGCAATAATTTAATAAATTAAATTATTTGATATGCTTTTTAGGTAAATGTCCAACCACATGTGCTAGACAAATATTTCATACCTTTGCCTGAGACTCCGAGTGTAGTGTGTCTGACTCGGGTATTTCACATACTTTTTAAGAGTCAATGTAACATAGTTTAAAATTAGTTGCGGAAGTAAATAATTCAATCTGGGGGTTGATTGGCAGTCCTGCGTAGACCTTGCACTGGAACCTTTTCTGTTACATTCTTGCTCAAATCCATTTTTATTACTTGTTTCCATGTCATATCAAATATGCTCTCTTTGTTCATTATCTTGGTTGTGCAGAACTAGCATGAGAAATTGGGATTTTACATATAGTGTTTGGCTTATTCGATATATTGAACTTTAATGGTTGATAGGTTATTTCTGGACATTTCTTTTCTACTATCTGAAGTTGTAAAGATCTTGCAATGACACTTGAATTTGCATTTATGATGCAGGAACTGGGTCAGTTTTATCAAATAGCATGGGAAGCTCACCTTCAATATCCCTCAATTCTACCATTCCAACAGCAGTTCTTTCTGTTAAAACATTTGCACTTGCGCACCTTGAGAAGGCCACAGAGAAGTTCAGCTCAAGGAGGTTTCTGGGTGAAGGAGGTTTTGGTCGTGTTTATTATGGGATCATGGAAGATGGAACTGAAGTTGCAGTTAAATTGCTTACAAGGGATAATCAGAATGGAGACCGTGAATTTATGGCTGAAGTTGAGATGCTAAGTCGGTTGCATCACCGTAATCTTGTGAAATTGTTTGGCATATGCATTGAAGAACACAAACGATGCTTGGTTTATGAGCTTGTTCCTAATGGCAGCGTTGAGTCCCATTTGCATGGTATAATTTTTTTGTTACCCTTGATTTTCTTCCTCTTTGAGTCATTCTCTGAAATGTTGCCTAAAACAACATATTCAGCCCATATTTTGCATTCCTATTACCATAACCTGAAGCACCTCATCTTACGGCGGTGATGCACTCCATTTCTACTGGAAAAAGAATCAGCCTTAGATGATGCAAATTTTTGCAATTTATGTTTTGATTATTAATCGAAAAAAGAAAAGAAAAGAAAAAGAAGGAAATTAACTGTGCGTTAGTGATTCAGGTGTGGACAAGAGCAAGAGGCCTCTTGACTGGGAGGCGCGTTTGAAAATTGCTCTTGGCACAGCTAGAGGATTGGCTTATCTTCATGAAGATTCTAACCCTCGTGTAATTCACCGAGATTTCAAGGCCAGTAATGTGTTGTTAGAAGATGATTTTACCCCTAAGGTTTCAGATTTTGGGTTGGCAAGGGAAGCAACAGAAGGAAGTCATCATATTTCTACTAGGGTCATGGGAACTTTTGGGTATGTTTAACTCATAGCCTGTTGTTATGTTAAAATCTTCCATATTCTTCACAACTCCTGAATTTTGCCGACCTTATTATTTAGCAGATTGAATTACAATCATAACACCAAATGCAAATATTTTGATAAGAAATGTATTATCATATTGTTCAATAATTTCACAAATGTTGGGAGAATTTTAGAATCATTCATGAAGTTATGAATTATTCCAGTAATTTCATCATTAGAAGTGTTTTTCATTCAGCAAAGCAATATATACTATATATATTTATATATACGAAGTTATGAATTATTCCTGCAATTTCATCATGAGAAGTGTTCTTCACATTCAGCAAAGCAATATATATGTATATTGCAATTTTTTTCCTTATTCCATTTTTCCCTATATATATGTATACATTGTAGTTGGGAAAGGGGGTTTTGTTAAATTATGTATTATTTTCTCCAACAATAAGTACAAAAACAAAAATGACTATCCGTTTCTCTCTCTCTGTGGTACCTTCTTGTTCATGTTTTCAAGCCATGCCTTCTGCCAAATAAATTCCTGAATCTTGTACTTTTATCGGCCCACTGCTTCTATAATAGACTGCCTGGTTTTCTTCTTGCGTCTTTGAATTTGAGGCACTGATTTGCAATATTTCTTCTGACATAATGTTAATAACTTTTGATTTGCAGGTATGTTGCTCCTGAATATGCAATGACGGGGCACTTACTTGTCAAAAGTGATGTTTATAGTTACGGGGTTGTGCTATTGGAGCTTCTATCTGGAAGGAAACCTGTGGATATGTCTCAACCTCCAGGACAAGAGAACCTTGTGACTTGGGCGCGCCCTCTACTAACCAGTAGAGAAGGTTTGGTGCGGTTGGTGGATCCTTCTTTGACCAGAAACTATGACTTTGATTACATGGCTAAGGTGGCTGCCATTGCTTCCATGTGTGTTCACCCGGAGGTGACTCACAGGCCATTCATGGGGGAAGTTGTGCAGGCACTGAAGCTCATATACAATGACATGGATGAAACATGTGCAGATTACTGCAGTCAGAAAGATCTCTCTGCTCCAGACTCCGACATTAAAGGTGATCTTGCTCATGCCTCTTCTTTCATAACGATGGAGTACAGTTCGGGTCCACTTGAAGAGATGGAAAACAGACGATTTTCAGCTTCAAGTTTAATTGAGGGAGAAGTTTCTTTACCTATCAGGCATGGGAACCGATCAGGTCCATTGAGAACAGTACCCAGCAAACCAGTCTTTCACAGGTTGAATGGTAGTATGAGCGAACATAGTGGACTCCTCTCAAGGCAATTTTGGAATGACGGTAACGGATTTGATGCTTCCTTTTAGAATATATATATATATATATATATATATATATATATATATATATATATTCACCCTTTTAAATGTACAGTACTGAAGAACCGGTTATTTGGAGATAAGGTCTTTGAGTGTAGCGTAGAAGTTTGGGAATGATGTGATTAGCATAATTGGAGGGTCGGTCCAACTAGAGGAGAGGAGGGAAGGAACAAAGGAGAAAACATCAGGCCAAGCTGGAAAGTTTGAAACTATGTCAAGCCTCACCGAAACAAAGTCTGAAAAAGGCTCGTCGATTGCCTTTCCTCTAAGGTTATGATACTACAATTTGAATGAAATTCATACGCTTTCACCTGTCTCATGCATACTCCTTGTGACCCCTGAAACTGTGGTTTGCATTTCACGTAGGGTGTCTCGTGGGGAGGACGGACTTTGACTTGTAATTTTGGTTATCCAAATTTATTTCCCATACAAAAGGCTGTAATTTGTATAGTCCTGTATTATATACGTGCTAGATGTCTTGGAAGCCAAATGCTGCAAAAACATATCTGTTCTCGAGGTTTTCATGCTCAGGTGGAGCATTTTCTGGTTGAGAGGTTTTCTGATTCTTGTCATTAAGATTTTAATACATTTAAAAAAAACTAATATCAGTTATCCTTTTATTTTTATTATTTTTTATTTTTACTTTCTATGCACTCACAATATTGTTCCATGTAATATGTTGCTAAAATCTTTTTCTTTCTTCAATAAGGTTATTTTGTTTTTCTTTCTTCAATATGGTTATTAAATGTTAAATGAAATTCATGACACATGTTTGAATTTTTTTTTTCACAACTTATCAATTACCCTTCCAAACCAAGTAGTATTAGTAATTTTTTTTCCCCAATTTTGAATAGAATAAAAAAATTGAAGAAGTAGAGTAAGAAAAAATATATATATAAAATTTTATGTGGCATAATATAAAATTAAAATTTTCTTGAATTTTTTTTTTCTTCTTTATATTAATAATAATCAAATTTCTAATCTTTATTCAAATTTCTAACTTTGTTAAAATTTAACAAACACATTACCTGCATTACCTTAAATATCATAATGTAAATTCTATTCAATCCTCTAACACAACCCCGTACGAGTTAGAATCTAACACAACCCAATACAAGTAACACATAGTTTTATACAATTGAAAAATAATGTATACCAAATTGTCAAGAGATTTCATTAATAATAAAAAAGTTTAGATAAGTCCAAACTCCCTCGCCTACTGGGAACTTGTTCGTCACAAATGACCCCTCTTGCCTATTAATATGCATTCTTTCTAACTTTTGAAATTGTTCGTACAAAATTCTTTATCATTCTAATGTATTATACTCTCCACAAATATTCACAATCTCTACAACATTTTAGAATCTCCCAAACTCTCTAAAATACTCCACAACTCTACTGTACTCCCTACTCTTCTCATGCAATGGAGAAGTTTCCTCAGCACACACTTGTCGCCTGTGTGACAAGTGGCTCACATGTGCAATGTGAGAAGATCCATGGTGTTAAAAAAAAAAAAAAAACATTGAGCTAAAATTCTATCGATTGGAACTCTCTTAGCTGTAATAAGAAATAAAAATCTTTAGCCAAACCCAATTGAATAAATTGGGTTCAACCAAAATTCAGGCCCATAAGTGGGCTAGCCCAGTTAAACTTATGTATAAATCTTACAGGCCCATAAGTGGGCTAGCCCAGTTAAGCAGCTAAAATACGGTCCATGGAAATTCAGCTCGGACTACTACTAGCTAACTCTTTTTGGAACTTTTTCTGGATCATTTGATGAAAAAACTTTTTTCTTAATCGGTTTAAGATTGTTTTAGTTGAAAATCCTCCAAATTGTCCTATACATCCCCCGTTAATATTTGTAATTTTACTTAAATCAATGGCACATGTTGAGTGCCACCGGGCAGGGACGGATACAGAAAGTTGTGGGAGGGTGGCAAAAGTGAATTTAGTGTAATTTTAAGAGGGGTAAAGTGAAAATTTTATAGGTATATAATTTGAAAATAAAAAAACTTAGTGGTTTATAACAGTAAAAAAAAAAATTCAATGGGGGCAATGTGCCACCGGATTACATCCCAAAAATGAACCTTCAACCCGTGTTAGTTAAATATTTATACACATTTCACAAATTGCCCACTACGAATTAAATATCCGCTTTAAAGAAAAAAATGTTATATATTGAACTAATGACATTTTGATAACCTTTCCATTTCTTTCTCGATCTCTCTTTCTTTTTATTTTTTATTATTATTATTTTTATTTTTATGATTAACAAGTCATGGAATTGATAAAGCTTGGACTCATGAGGTAGCTAAAATCGACTTTGTGAACACAATAAATGAGCACAGATACATTTATCTATATAAATCACATCAAAACATTTGAGTTTTGAGATGGCTGAAAAACTTGGGCCAACCATAAGGAATTCACATGAACTTCCCAAACACCTTCAACATGTCCGTAGGGGCCTTCATCACGCCCTAAAAAAAGTCTTCATATCAATAGGGTTTGGACCATAAGACCCAGTGTATCAATGACCCTTCTGGACCACCCTAATTGTACTACTAGACATAAAATTCCAGCTCTGATCAATTAATTCCGACCATCGGATTGATTTTTGGGAGTACCCTGTCGACGGTATATCAATGATGTGACGTGCAAGACGTAACCAATATCTACTCCTTGTCGGCATAGGTTGTACAATTAACCAAACTAGTCAAAATGTGTATTCACCCTAATTCGACAATCGGGCCATGTGGATAGGAGGCCCGTGAATTCACCTGACCGAGTCCCTATAACACCCTGCTAAATGGTCCATGGTTTTGGTCCTTTCGGTCCCGTTCTCAGACACTGACACAAGCTATCGAGAAATTCGACATAACCCATGTCATTCACATGATTCATACACTCATCTGCTATGTTTGGTCCAGTGTGTTGGACTAAAAAATCAGATCAGTTTGTATTCATGACTTAATGCAAAATGTTCACACTTCACACTCATGTGGAGATCTGTACGTGGTCATGATTTGAGTTATGTGTTGAATTTTCGATCATTAAAGTGTGGAATTTTCTCTTCCAACTATTCATCAACAGCAATTTTTAGATCATAGATGAAATATCAATCATGATACTGTTGGAAAACGTGCAAGTTTTAAAAACTTTTTGAGCGATTTTGATTCATAGATCTTGATTCATCACATAGAGACAAGTTTTACGCAAAAATAAAATATGATATATCATTCAATTAACAGATTGAATACTTACATCAAAGGTCTGAGTAAACCTTTAAAACTTTCCTCTAAAGTGAATGTTTTCACTTATTGTAGATCCCTTAACAAGATGCCTTCTCCTTGGATCTCCATCTTCTTGGTAATTATTTTGCCTTTAGGAATCACTCACAAGCCTCCATGAATTACCTCGAAAAACTAGGCTTGTGGGAGCTTCCATTAGATGAGAACATAAACCCTAATTTTCTAGAGAGAGAAAAAATATTCCTTTTTCCTTCTCATCAAAATCACCTCCTAAAATATACATAGACCATATATATTTATAGGCAACATAAAAATAAAGAAAAGAAAACAACAAATCCTTCTCCATCTCTAATTCATATGTCTCAAATCTAATATGATTCCAATATCAAGTTGGGCTATGAGTGAGAATCCATTGGGCCTATTATTTTATTGGCTACAATGAATTAATAATTGGCCCGGTCCATGGACCCAATTCAATTAATTCATAAATTAATTTCTACTCCACTAAAAGAAATTAATTGAACTCCAATTAAATAATAAATAACCTCTAAGTCAATATTACACTTTGACCCTTCTATGCATAATTAGTTATCGGATAAATAATGCCATCAATCCGACTACTTAATTAATATATTTATTTTGGTACCTTTGATTATTTCTGGCTCGATCACAATAAAACATTTGTTCGACAAAAATAATAATTTAATAAATAAATATATAATAAATCATTTTGTCTAAAATCATACGAAGGCCTTCGAATTTACTTTGTTATCAACCATAATCAATACAAAATAAATACAAGTAGCAATGATGCAAATATTGAAAATATAACCCTCTAACTATTAATTACATAACTACCCGAAGTGTCGGTCTAAGGATCCCGAAGAATCAGCCGAACAAATCAAAGTAATTATTAATTAATAAAAGAGTCTATACTTTTCTCATGCTTAAGAGTCAAATGCCATGACGGTGATAGGGAGTAATTGCATACGACGGCTCTCGCAATATATCTCAACCTAACGCGGATCCAGTTCAAGTCTTAATTAATTATGAGTCCATCCATAATTACCGACTATGAACAATTTATAATTACTATTTATATATCATGCATTGATTGCCATCACATACATATATATAAATATTTCTTGTAATTACATGGACACTATCAATTTCATAGTGAATCGAAATATAATACATTGAATTCACCAATTGTATAAAACATAAATATTTCAGAAACGTCAGGAACATATGTCAATTAATCCAAACAGGAATTTGCTATGCCAGGGCATATAAATCCCAACAGCTCCCACTTGCCCTCATAGCCAATTCAAATTGCACCTAACTCCAATGTTATCCAGATGATGATCAAAATTATTGATCAATGACACCTTTGATAATGGATCAACAAAGTTGTGTTCCAATGCAATGTTCTAGCTACAAGTACATTTTCTTGCCGGATAATATCATGTAGAACATGATACTTCCTATCAGTGTATTTTGTTCATCTATGGAACCTTGGGTCATTGGTTTGGACTACTTCTGCACTATTGTCGCAATATAGCTCGATAGGCAGGCTAGTATGCTCCACAACCTCTAAATCAGTGAGATCAAACCAATAGGCTTATATTGCCACCTTTAAGGCTGCAATATATTCCACCTGCAGGTTTGAGTCAACAGTTGAAATCTGCTTGACAATCTACCAACTGATTTCCCTTCCATTAAGTGAACATACACTAAGTCATGAACCTCATAGTATCTACTTCTGATTGAAAATCAGAACTAGCATACCTGACTAGGACCATATCATCACATCCATAAATGAGTATGATATCATTGATTCTCCTTAGGTACTTAATGATATTTTTCACAATAGACCAGTTGTCAAGTCCAGTATTGGACTGATCTCTACTGACTATCCCTACTATGTAGCGGATGTCCTGTTTGGTATAGACCATGGCATATATGAGACTCTCATATGCCGAAACATATTGTTCCAGTCTCATTTGCTCAATCTCCTTTGATAGTCTTGAAAAACTACTTACTAGAGAGAGCCATCCATATTAATAAAGCAAGAACTCATTCTTTGAGTTATGCATACCAAACCTGGTCAAAGCTTTATAAATGTAGGATTATTAAGATAAGCCTATTTTCCTTTTAACTTGATCTTGCAAAAGCTTGATCCTAGGAATCTAGCTTACATCCTGAAAATCCTTCATTTAAAAGTAATTGAACAACTACCTCTTTATTGATGACAAAACTTCCACATCATTTTAAATGAGTAGGATGTCATCAATATATATAGAATTAGAAAACTAATGACATTCCCTTGTACACTCATGATTTATTCACTAAGAAATCTTCTGGTATCTATTTGTAGATTAACTTGCCTTCCATAGAAATCA